GCCATAGAGCAAGGCAGAAATACTTGCACATAGGACAATTCAGGTTGGGTCAAGAGGGAGGTCAACATTGATTCAGTGTAATCATGATTACAATGATCTGTATATGGTAGTAAAGCTGTAAGATATTTTAAATTAGACATTCTTCTTGTGTATAATATTTTAACAATTAGTTTCCTAATACATATGGATGAAACTTATCTAGTTTTCACTTGTTTATGATTTTTGTAATTATTGACAAGGTCTTCTATATCTATAATATACAGGGATCATATATATTTCATACATGAAATCCACATATTTCATTATCAATGCTAATGTGAATTATTTATACTGATACAATAAAATCCAATATTTGGAATTGGCACACATTTTATTTATTTAAGTTATTCATTAATATACAGTATGCCAAATGAAGACTTATTTGAGATAAGAATCAGCCCAGGATAAACAAATCTTGATAAAAGTATTTCAAATTTAATACAATCTTGACAATTTTTCTCAGCTGATAAGCCTACATAATTGAGTTGTATAACTCTGATTCATATTTGTAATATTCAGCCATGGCAATCTAAGAGGAAATTAAATCAACCTCTTTTTAAAATATTTCATCCTGACATCATTTCTTCTCCAGGATTTTAAAGGTAGTACTTTCAATCAATACAAGCAGTCACAATTACTTTTCAAAAATTCATTAGGAAGTTATAAAGAAGATAATAAATTAATCAGAATATTATACATGAAACAAGTGGCAAGAAGTTGACAAAACGAGTTAAATTTGACTTGGGAAACAGTTGCTATCATGTAATTTTAGGCTCATCTCAGGACAAGTGGATATGAAATGAAACAAAACATACATTTCATTTAGAGTTTAAATAGTTTTTTTCCAAAACTTTTTTCTTTTATATTTCTTATCTTGATTTTTCTTTTTAAGTGTTATAGGTAGCAGCAAATGGTAAATTAAAACATTGACATATGTTTACTTTGATGATCTACTGAAAGCCAAGATGCTCTTTGTTCCCAGGAAGTATGCTGAATAAAAGATTGATATTTCCATATTCAGACCTTTTATAAATTAAATAAGGGAAAATTAAAACATCGAGGTAATATTATGAGTATAAAAATACTAAGAATCTCAAAGCAAACACATTTCCCCAGAAGAAAAAACTTAATTTCTAGAATATAATTTATTCACATTTAATTCTAAATTTATGTATTAATTAATATTGTTCTACAGTTACTTCTGCTGTAATATAAATGACAGTAAAATAATATTAGAATGTATCTTATTAAGAAAAAAATAGATGAAAATCATGACTGTGGTAATCTAAATAATGAAGCAGTGATTATGTGTTACATACGGCTGAAAAGATGGGAAATAAAAACCAAGAGGAAAGTTATTTGTCTAGAGAAGTTTGGGTTAATTAAATTGTTATTCAAAATAACACACGAGGAGAATGGACCAGGCACCGGTCCTAGCCAGATATGGCCCGACCCCCACCGTGGAAGGGAGCACCACAGAGGATGGAAGTAGATCATCCAGTGAGGGAGGGGAGCTGACCTACCACACCACACCCAGAGGGAAGCTGGGACAAAGGAAGGAGGAGGAAAGGAG